GCACAGTAAGTCAGTAGTAATATTTTTTTGATATCATATAACACAGTAAGTCAGTAGTAATATTTATTGATATCATGTAGCAAAGTAAGTCAGTAGAAATATTTATTGATATCATATTGTACAGTTAAGTCAGTAGTAATATTTATTATTGATATCATATAGCAAAGTAAATCAGTAGAAATATTTATTGATATCATATTGTACAGTTAATTAAGTCAGTGGTAATTTATTATTCACGGATATCATAGCACAGTAAGTCAGTAGCCATTTGTATAAAACCCTTCACAGTGTTACACATTGACATTTTTCTAAAGAAACATCATCTTCAACAAAAACAATCTTTTATAAACTTTCCCATGGAATTGAGTTTGAGCTGTTTTGATGTTAACTTAATTTCACAGCATTTACTACATATATCAGGTTTTATCAGAAAGGTGATCCAGCTTGGCACATACAACATTCATTTATTTTTTTCTTTGCTAGCTTTTAAATTGGTTTATAAACTGTGTTTGTGTTTAGTTTGTAATACAATCATTGTATAGTAAGTGGTTTAAGATTCAAACTACATTATTTGTTTCAAATTGTTTGATGTACAACATAGGTAGATTATATACATTACAGTACTGTTACAGGCAGGGTGTCTGCTGTAATGTTCCTAATGGTTAGAATAGGTGATCTCATCTTGTTCATTTTCATTTAATTCTGAAATGAAACTGAAATGAAAATTTTCATGTATCATACTTTTAACAACTATGAAATTTTAATGTAATTGTATCTTGAACTTGTAAAGATTTATTGTAAAGTCATTTTAAATAGATCATTTTAAAATGTTGTGGGTAACCAGAATCACTGTATCATTTTTTACAAATCTATACAATAAGTGTGAGCACATGCACTTTTGATCACTGTATGATTTATTGCAAGGTTATTTTATTCAACTTATCATTTCTTGCAAGCCCAGGATGAAGATTCATTTAGCCATGTTTGTTTGTTCACTCCTTTAATGTTAGACAGTGAACAAAACACTGAGTAACAAGATGTACAATGGTATGTCACTTGTCCTCAAATATTTGATCACTTGTAAGAAATAATATTTGACAAAATATTTGTCTGAATATAAAACATAATATTTGTCTGCATATAAAACATAATATTTGTCTGAACATAAAACATAATATTTGTCTGAATATAAAACATAATATTTGTTTGCATATAAAACATAATATTTGTCTGAATATAAAACATAATATTTGTCTGCGTATGAAGCATAATATTTGTATGCATATAAAACATAATATTTGTCTGAATATAAAACATAATATTTGTCTGCGTATGAAGCATAATATTTGTCTGAATATAAAACATAATATTTGTCTGAATATAAAACATAATATTTGTCTAAATATAAAACATAATATTTGTCTGAATATAAAACATAATATTTGTCTGAATATAAAACATAATATTTGTCTGCATATAAAACATAATATTTGTCTGCATATAAAACATAATATTTGTCTGAATATAAAACATAATATTTGTCTGCATATAAAACATAATATTTGTCTGAATATAAAACATAATATTTGTCTGAATATAAAACATAATATTTGTCTGCATATAAAACATATTATTTGTCTGAATATAAAACATAATATTTGTCTGCATATAAAACATAATATTTGTCTGAATATAAAACATATTAATATTTGTACACTTATAAGACATTAATTTTGTCAACTTATAAAACATAATATAAAACATTATACATATGTATACTTATATTGTATATGACGTAATATTTGTCCATTAGTTAATACGAGGGTTGTCCAAAAAATTCGTGCACTGCAGTTATTGTCGTGTGAGTTGTTGATAGAAAAACATTAATCATATATCACTTGAAGGGAAAATATATCTTTAATAAGAAAACAAAAGAAATTAACATGTTACCAGCATGCCCTGAAAACGAATCATCATACAGTTACCTTGGTAACGTAATACCGGCGCACAACAAAAAATTGGGTTAGTTCATTACTTTGATGCATCGCGGTATTCTTTAAACACTACATATTAACGTTCAAATTCATGGAAAAGTGTGTGTACGTATTCCTAACGTCACTAGAAAATATGGAGCCATTTGCCCTATTGTAACAGTCGGAAACAAACATTTGTGTGTGGTCGTCAATACTGTAATTACGTGAAAATGTCGGTCGCTAAACGTCTGGAAATACAGACGATCATTAAATTTGATGCAAATATTGGTAAAACACCAACAAATACCTACGAAGAACTTAAAAGGGCAAGCGGGACAAGTTCAGTGTCACAAAGGCTGGTTTTTTAAATGGCACAAACGCTCTGTAGAAGAGAAAGAGGGTCTGTAGACGATGACAACCGGTCAGACAGACGTCCGTCCGTAATGCCGGCGCATGTGACGACGGTTATCCAATATATTCCTGTACTGGTGGAGTATGCTACATGTACGTTGCATAAAAACAATAAAAACTACACAATACTTTGCAATTCAATCATTCCTCTATTGACAGTAAAAAAAATTATAACATAAAAAGCAAATACCACTTTACAAGCAACAAACAATTAATACAATTACAGTAATAAATTAACCCAATTTTTTGTTGTGCGCCGGTATTACGTTACTAAGGTTACTTAATGGCAATTTTTTACACGACACGCCGGTTACTCGACTTTTTCTTTTAATTTCTTATTTGAGACAGATTTCTCTTTCAAGTGATATATAATTTATTTGTTTTTATTAATAACTCTCACGACAATAACTTCAGTGCACGAATTTTTTGGACAACCCTCTTAATAAAGGTAATTAAACAGTAATTGTTTCTTCATGCATTATTAAAGTGAGAGGTACTCATGGAAATATCTGTTACAGTGTCTGTTTCTCTCATTAATCAACATGTATGTTTATATGTTGTTTCTCTACATAGCAGTAAAACTTTGACTTTAACATTCAATATTGTAAGTAATAGATATAAAGAAATTTTATGAGAAATTGGATTATATGTTGTAATTAATTAATTATGCCCCCCTTCGAAGAAGAGGGGGTATATTGTTTTGCTAATGTCGGTCTGTCTGTCTGTCTTGTCGGTCCGTCCGTCGGTCTGTCGGTCTATCCGTTGGTAGACCACATGGTTTCCGCTGATTATCTTGAAAAGTAATTATCACAAAGTCTTCATATTTCACATAGTGATTGGCCATCACTAGTAGATGACCCCTATTGATTTTGGGGTCACTAGGTCAAAGGTCAAGGTCACAGGGGCCTTAAATGTCAAAATGGTTTCTGCTGATAATCTAGAAAAATATGTATCACAAAGTCTTCATATTTCACAAAGTGATTGGTCATAACTATTAGATGACCCCTATTGATTTTGGGGTCACTAGGTCAAAGGTCACAGGGGCTTTAAATGTCAAAATGGTTTCCGCTGATTATCTTGATAAGTATGTATCACATAATCTTCATATTTCACATAGTGATTGGTCATCACTAGTAGATGACCCCTATTGATTTTGGGGTCACTAGGTCAAAGGTCAAGGTCACAGGGACCTTAAAATGTGAAAATGGTGACCGCTGATTATCTTGAAAAGTATTTATCACAAAGTCTTCATATTTCACACAGTGATTGGTAATCACTAGTAGATGACCCCTTTTGATATTGGGGTCACTAGGTCAAATGTCAAGGTCAAAGGGACCTTAAAATGTCAAAATGGTATCCGCTGATTATTTTGAAAAGTATTCATCACAAAGTCTTCATATTTCACATAGTGATTGGTCATAACTAGTAGATGACCCCTATTTATTTTGGAGTCACTAGGTCAAAGGTCAAGGTCACAGGGGCCTTAAATCTCAAAAGGGTTTCCGCTGACTATCTTGAAAAGTATTCATCACAAAGTCTTCATATTTCACCTAGTTATTGGTCATAAGAAGTAGATGATCTCCATTGATTTAGGGGTCATTAGGTCAAAGGTCAATGTCACATGGGCCTTAAATGTCAAAATGGTTTCCGTTGATTTTTCCATAATTGAACACTTCCATGTACCCATTTTTGGCAAGTTTATGTAATAAAATTATCAATTATGTCAGTCAATGGCTAGAAAGGGGGGTATATGTGTCGTTCGACATTCTTGTTAATGTGTGTTTTGGAATAGTTATGTGGGATAGTGTTTCTTCTATATCAATACAGGTTTTTCACTGTTCATGTTTAAGTCTGATTTCATAGTGTTTAATAATTACATGTATATTAACATAGCTATTTAATCACTTGTCCCTTCCTATTGGCTGAATTTTAAATATAACTGTATAATGTTCTGCAAAAACGTTTTATTTTTTTTGTGCAGCCAGTGCTGTTGTAGGAAGAGGTTTGGGTTGATGGTGTATAAGTCTTAAGCATTTGTTAAGCATTTGTAAATAGGATACTATAATATGCCTACTGTACAATAAATTAGTATAAAAAATGTGTCCTAATTCTTATTTATCAACATCTTCACAAGTTGATAACATTTTTTTTACTTAATGATAAGATATAGAGATAATGTAAGATAAAGTAGGAACAGTGGTACATTTGAGATAAAGTAGGTTTATATATTGCAGTGTTACACAGTTTTTAAGTGTTAAAGCGGGTTATATTTGAGATGAGATTTTTAGAGTTTTTATGTGTAGTATACAGTTTGCTTTGACAAATGGCAATTTATCATGAAGTAGTGTTTTCAGATAAAGTTTTGTACATGACAAGCAGTTAAGACATTAGTTTAGATATCTTGGTGCACTTTGTAAAATCAGATATTTTAGTGATGTTTTATTTTCTGTAGAGATTATATCATGGAGAGATTAACTAATGAAGAACTCGAAATAAGAATATTGTAAGAAGTATAAAGTGTCACTATATAACATTTTCGAAAAAACAGAATACATGACTTGAATATAGTGATGTGATTTTTTGATGAGGTTGTGTAATAATGAGATATTCATGAAAATTAGAAAAAATTGTGAGGTGGTTTAAAATCAAAGAAAAAAAATATACAAATGAAACAAGGGGGAAATATTGTGAAGAAAATGTATATATATACATGAGACAAGAAGTATTTGTGAAGTAATGTAATTTATTCATCAGACATGAAGGAAATATTGTGAAGTAATATAAAATATACATGTAGCAACAAGGAAATATTGTGAAGTAATATAATACATACATGTAGCAACAAGGAAATATTGTGAAGTAATATAATACATACATGTAGCAACAAGGAAATATTGTGAAGTAATATAATACATACATGTAGCAACAAGGAAATATTGTGAAGTAATGTAAAATATACATGAAACAACAAGGAAATATTGTGAAGTATTGTAATATATACACGAAACAAGAAGGAAAATATATTGTGAAGTAATGTATTATACATAAAGTTGAGGACATGATGAGTTCGATGGAGAATATCGCTGAGGGGTTGCTCATATCTGATTCAGCAAGGCAGAAATTCTCTGCAGCAGTTGATAAACAGAACCTTATAGCTCAAACAGGTATGTTATACTGTAAAAAGTTACACTGTTTCAAAAGTTACACTGTTTCATATGTTACACTGTTTCAAATGTTACACTGTTTCAAATGTTACACTGTTACACTGTTTCAAATGTTACACTGTTTCAAATGTTACACTGTTTCAAATGTTACGCTGTTACACTGTTTCATATATTACACTGTTTCAAATGTTACACTATTTCATATGTGTAACACTGTTTCACTTGTACTGGTGATTGTATTATATACATGTATAGTATTGGTCTTATTATAATGATGTAAAGTTTCAAAGTTTATGTCATTCAAATCCAGATGGCCAAAAAGCCCTTGAGGCATACTGTAACATATACTAAACACTATGGTGATCAGATTGTACAATAGTCTCATTAATATAGTAGTACATGTATATCAAACATGATAATCATACTATCATACAGTACATACTGTGGGGGAAGTTTTTATAACCATATATAATATATAAGTAATCTTGATTTATAGCTTAACATATTTAACATATGATGACAGCGGCCATCACTGGTATTGGAATGATTTCATGTATATGACTTGTATAATTCCTCTGTTACAATCATAATGAAAGCTATTCATGTTATTAAGTAGGTTCAAGTTTTGAGTGTAGAACATCTTGAGCCAAATGCCGTGAATTTCTAATTCTTTATTCATTATAAGCTCATCTACCATACCAAGTTCTATAACTCTTGTTGATATATTTTGTTGTCCTCTAACTTAATGAATGAAGAGTTTGATATGGTAGCAGATTTCTTTTTAAATGTTTATATATTTATATTTAAACTGAAAGCATGTTTGTTAGCACAATTAGAGAATATTATGTATGGACAATGTACATAAATCTATCGTTTAGAATTAACTTTGCAAGTTTGTATTTGAGCTATTTGTTTTGAAATATGTAAATACTTGTGCAAATAAACGAAAGAAGGTATTTTTTTAATCCTGACTCAGATTTTTCTTATTACAGTTGTTAAACATTCAAAGTTTAATTTCTTTGTGTGTTTTTTTACAATGTAAGAAATATAGAGGCGTAATATTGTGATAAAAACCATGCATGTAATACACATCTGCTTATCATTTTAGTAGAATTTTACAGGAAGTGAATGTCAGTAGTTGAAAGTACATTAAGCCTGATGAAAATCATAAACCATACATCTTTGTTACATTGTGTAATGATATAAAATTACATGTTATGTAATATTTTAAAATCTAATAAACACTGGGTTGTAAAAGAATATAACAATCATATTTATTTTAATTAAATTTAAAAAAAAACTACACACTTCTTGAAGGAATAGCTGACATCTCTGAAAACAGTGCATTAAAGAATGATGTTGTGTATATGTATTTTATATGAATAACACTTTCCTACACATTATTTTCTTCATGTCAATGTCCCATACACCTGTATTCATCATGTCAATGTCCCATACACCTGTATTTATCATGTCAATGTCCCATACACCTGTATTCATCATGTCAATGTGTATTCATCATGTCAATGTCCCATACACCTGTATTCATCATGTCAATGTCCCATTCACTCACCCATATTCATCATGTCAATGTCCCATACACTCACCCATATTCATCATGTCAATGTCCCATATACTCAACGTATTCATCATGTCAATGTCCCATATACTCAATGTATTCATCATGTCAATGTCCCATATACTCACCTGCATTCATCATGTCAATGTCCCTTATACTCACCCGTATTCATCATGTCAATATCCCATATACTCACCCGCATTCATCATGTCAATGTCCCATATACTTACCTGTATTCATCATGTCAATGTCCCATATACTCACCTATATTCATCATGTCAATGGCCCATATACTCGCCCGTATTCATCATGACAATGTCCCATATACTTACCCATATTCATCATGTCAATGTCCCATATACTCACCTGCGTTCATCATGTCAATGTCCCATATACTTACCCTTATTTATCATGTCAATGTCCCATATACTCACCTGTATTCATCAGGGCTTTATTTGTCAGAACTTTTCTTAATATTAACCAAAAAAGTTATCAGGCTTACTCTTGTCTGTGGCAAAGTGGTTAAATTCTTTGCGGGTTAAAGTCTTTGTGGGTTCAAACCTTGCAAGGGATTCTTCCTTGTGTAGTTGCTACCCTATGGAACACCCATGGTTCTACTTGTGGACTGTTTGTGCCTGAAATAATGAATGGAGAGGCATCTGAGGTCTTCCTGCATTGTAATGGTGTGACATAAAACCCAACTAAACAGAAGTATTGGAATTTATTTGTTGTCTTAACCCTTTCCCCAATGAGCATATTGTGAAAAATGGCCATTTTCACTGAAAAGCCTCCTGTTACAAGTTCAAACTGCTATGAAACTATGAAAAATGCTTCAATACTAATCAAACTTGGCACAAATGTTGACTGGACCATTGCCTTTGTAACGACATGCTCAGTCTTAAATTTCCTGTTACCATGGCAACGAGGGGACATCTCAAAATTGCCAAAAATCACTTTTTTGCCTCGATTTTTTCCATCAAAATTTATTTCAAAGTGCTGCAACTTCTCAAGGGATTGAGATAGAGTCAAAGGCTTTTCAGCGTTGGTTACACGTTACCTTATGATCGACCTGGGGTCATTTTAAGCCTCTCACTAGTCCAAAATTTTCTTGGCGATGAGGAGGACTCCGCCCCTTCAAACCCCCCAAACAGAAGGGGGCACATCCCCTTCTGGGCAACCCCCTGATGTAATATTTGGATGGGGGACGGCGCCGAAAAATGGTCACTTTTTTTAACAAACATTTCTCAAACAAAAGACAGTGTTTGGGGCCTAAATAGGGCATTTTTTTCACTGTTTGAGGCCTCAAAAAAAGGGGGGGGGGGCAAAAAGCCGTCGAAACACGCTTATATAAGGGAAAAGGTTAATTGATTTGGAAGTTTGTAAGAATACAATCATATATTCAGCATCTAGAATGAAGTATGAACCAGCATGAATGCCACATATAGGGAGTAGTTCACAGATTATTTAAATTGTTGTAAACATTGTAAAATTGAATATAACTGCTTTATAAACTTAGGTTAGGTATTCAAGTGCAATATTTTTGTGGTTAATGTGTTTGTGAAATTATACAGTCCCTGTATTGTCCGGATAAAATATATTTTTGCTACATCATTATAATTTAATTGCTCTATAGTAATGTTGAGTCATAGTTGTAATTTATCATACATGTTACGTTACAATTATAACCCAGTATTGCAAGTCACTAAAGGTAGCTTTAACCCTCAAAGGAAGTCAGAATTCAAGCTTTGTTTAATACCAACTGATTATAGATCAAGGCTGAAATAGTCATTTAGAGAAAACCATTTCACAATTACAATCATTGTTACATATCACATTTAAAAGCCAGCTATTACCATTATATGGTAGAGTCCATATTAAGAAATCTGGAAAAAAGGCTATTATACATGTACATATTGAGTAATCTGGTTATGGCAATTACAGAAGTTTGTACTAAGTAATCTGGAGATGGTATTTAGAAAAGTACCTATTGGATTATATGGAGATGCATGGCCATTACAGAAGTACTTATTGAGTAAACTGGAGATGGCCATTCCAATAGAAATCATTATTGGATTCAATCTTATCAATTTAGCCTTGTTTTCATTTCTAGAGTTCAAAATGACCATATCAGATCCATATCCCACCCCTTATAGTCTAGCTTTCATTTCTAGAGTCCAAAATGACCATATCAGATTCATATTCCTACCGTATAGTCTAGCTTTCATTTCTAGAGTCAAAAAGTTCATATTGGATCAATATCCCATAAATGTTATTCAGTAAGTGAAATTTTGTCACTGAAGACTTTTTATAGGCACATACATGTATATGAAAACATTATATTTAACTTTAGAAAAAATTCCATGCGCTTTAATTCATGTATATAAAAAAGTTTTCATGTCATGGTTTTTCTTGGTGAATATAAGCAAAATAATTGTTGCAATATTCATAACAAGCTCCCATACATGTAACTGATATAATCATCAAATAGTTAGTATGAGTCTCGGTTGGGATAAGATGCACTGTAATTACATTGTGGTTTAGGTTGTAAACATTTACATTTTAAGATTTTAAAAGTGCAAGATATCAAAACAAGACAAATGTTGATATGAAAGAAAAAAAAATATACCTCTAAATAAGAAAGACAACTCTCCTCAAACATTGCCACTTATATCAAGTCAAAACCAGTAAGAGTTGTCTCTCTTATTTTATCTCCTACCATTATGCATAAAATTGTTTAGAAAATTTGTTTTGTGAAATTTTTTGCTTGACTTTATGACTTTTTTGAGAGCTATCTTTTTATTGATCCTAAGTGTCAGTAAAATACAATTCAAGGGATTTACTTGAAGCTAGATGAAAAAACATTTTGCCACCAGCAACATTCTGATAGTTTTGTTAACCTGTTTTACAGTATTGTTTTTAAATCTGATAAATTATGTTTTTAAAGGAAAACCCCCACAATAACAATAAAGTTTGCATGGTAATGAATTCTAAAATTAGTTTGTGCATGGGCAAAGGCAATTGAAACATCACATTGTTAGTTGTTATCTGTTATATTGCAGGATTCTGGGTGTACAAAAAAACTTATACCATTATAGCTTCATGATGCACTTTAATAGCCTGCCATTCACAATAGAGTAATCAACAAATTTAATTAAATAAGATATAATGTGGAATTATACCATTAAAGAAGGAAAAATTCTTAATTTTGATAAAGCTACTTAAAGCCACATTTGTTGATTTTCTGTTAAATTCTGAATGACCCAGGCGGAGTTTAAATTTTGATTTAGCCATCAGGATGTTGTAGACTTTAATGCTTCTAAAACTCTGACATCATGGTATTCAACTAGAATCAATGAGAAACCCATTTTAATAACAAAATGTTACTATTTCTGTTTCTATGAAATTTATGAAATGCAGCTTT